GTCTGTATGTGGGATCCGAACCCTCGGCGGGAGTGCTGCCGCGCTCCCAAGTGGCGCACTGGAGCAGTGCGCCACTGGGCCGGCCCGGTGAATGTTATTTCTGATTGAGCAGCAACAAAACATTCGTAGTTAAGAGCTTCGGATGGTGGTTCAAATCCCAGCTGGACCATTTGTTACCATTTATTGACTATGTGACCTACTTGTTCCTCAAGTTCATACTCTGTTACCCAGGGACTATAATCATGGTACCTGCTTCACAGATTAAATGACTTAATAGATGCAAAGAGCTTACAGGAGTTGCCTGCAGAACCTGAGGACTTGAGGAATGCCAGGCTCTACTGTTTTGTTCCCATGGCACTTGTATGTACAACCTATATCCTCTGATGACTTGTTTCCTGTGAAGTGCCGGCCTCCCTGACACATCTGGCAGTCACTAAGGGGCAAGGAGACTCAAAAAGTTGAGTTCCCTTCTGGCCTGATATAATGCTCTGCACACAAGGAGCCTTGATTTGCACACCACAGAAGTAATCCACTTTGTCTTACCAGGAGGGAGAGGGGATTTTTGGAGGATCTTATCTAGGAAGTAGACCAGCTGGTAGGTCTTCCAAGTAGAGATGGCCACGGCCTCAATGGCCTTCATGTCCAGCTCCTCATTCACCCACAGCTGGGCCAGCTCTTCAGCAGGCTTCATGAGTGAGTCCCCAGGGGAGAGATCAGGGAGGTAGGGGGGCCAGCCAGGGGTATTGAGCCATCGATCAAACTCAAAACCTGTTTGGGAGAAGGAGAAAAATACTGTCAGAATTCTCCAGCGGGGTCATAGTTAACTTGCCCAAGCAATTCTCAGAGACCACGGGCTCCAGCCTCCTTCTATCCCTAACTCTTCCTCCAGGAGTTAACACAGTTTTCCCACACAGCTGCTTGCTCCAGCAGGGTCCCAGTTATAGTGACATCTAGAGATTGTCAGAGTAAGACTGGACTGCACCTGTTTCTACTGTGAAAGTGTTTTTTGCTCCAAATTAACATTCTTGTCAGAGCCAAGCCAATGGATGCTCTTCTAGCTACATTCAAATTCGCACTCTCCTCCTGATCACCAGAACAGCACCATGCTTAAGCACCGGGGCTCTAGGACCAGGCTGCCTGGATTCTTGTCCCAGCTCTGCCATTAACCAGCTGCGAGGCCACAGCATGTTACTTCACCTCTTTGTGCCTGTTTTATCTGAGAAATGGGAGTGACAGGCCCTACCTTAGTTGACAGTTGTGAAGATGAAATGAGCAAATACACATAAAAGCTTAGTGTACAACCTGGTGCATACTAAGCACTCAGTAATTATTAACCATCGTTAGCTACAGAGGCTCATGACCTTGAAATGCAGGCCTCCATCCAAAGAGTAGGCGCTAAGCCAATGCCAGCTGTCAGAAGAAGCTGACTTTACCAAACCAATGATAGAGTGACTCAGAGCTCACAGCACGAAGTGGGGTACATCTAATGCACTGTCTCATCCAGGACAGGACATTTTCCACTCTCTCTTAGGAAGCAGTACTTCCCCAGCTGAAACCAGGGCGGCCACCGGAATTTTCCTTCGCTCAGAAGGCCACATGAGGCAACTCTAGGACATTAAGGCAAAGGCTGCTGCCACTATCACTGCCCTGTGGGTTTTATTTTGAGCAGCAGCGGCAGCGACTCACTGGGCAGAGTTAAGGGTCTGATTATGTGTGTCCAAGTGTGAGGAGAACAAGAGGAGAAAGAGCAGAGTAAGAAACAAAATAGGAGAAAATGAGGCAGAGAGTAATCAAGAGAAGTCATCTTCATGGAGTAAGGCCTGGGATCCCGGGTTTCCTCCCCAATGTGCTACTTACTAGATGACTTTGGTTCAGTGCTTTCCCACCCCACCTTAGTCTTTCCAAATGTAAACTGGATATAATTCTCTGCTGTCTCCTAAAAGCCCATGAGCCAGTTCCTCTGCTTACCTGGAATGGAATCCACTTTCCTTTTCTTCAGCTCAGGGAAATATTCCAAGTAGAATTCTAGAAAGTCATCGGCTAAGATGCTTTGGAATTTAAATTCATCAACATAGGCCTGTGAGAAGGGAAGGAAATGCTTTCAGTTCCTCTGGATCCCCTGGGGGGCAGACTGCCTGTATGTCTTGGGCCCTCCTCCAACCCCTTACCTCTTTCGCCCCCTGCCTCTACCCTTGCACTCTGGCCCAGCTGCTTTATCTGCTCCTCTTCCTTCTCCCCTCATTTGAGAGTTGACTATACCTTGAGAAAATTGTCAAACTGATCCTGATCACCCACCAAGTGGGCCAGGTATGAGACAAAGCAGAAACCTTTCTCGTAGGGGGTCTCATTGTAGGTGTCATCTGGGTCAACACCTGGCAGAGGAGAAAGCAGACAAGATTTGAGCACTTGTTAACCTATCACCCTCATTGATCTTCTCTAGCTCCAGTTTCAAAGATTAACTGTGGAAGAAATCAGAATTCAGCTTCCCCAGGGACAGCAAGGCCAAGGAGTTTTCCAGATCCATCTTGGCCTCTCCCAAGGCACTTCAAATGAGATCTTGGAGGGCCATTAACTATGGACCTAATAAGAGGACAAAGAAACCAGCCTTGCAGAGGAACCGACATTTTTCCTTGTTCCCAGGACACGCATTGCTCAGGTAGGTTGCATCAACTCTTAGAACTGAGCACCGGGCTGAGTCTTTTACAGCCCTACTGGTCACCACCTAAATACTCAACCTCCTTTCCCAGAACGTGCTGTTTTACAATTGTTCTAGACTAAAACTAATTATCAATCTACAAGAAGTTCATTTTCACAGTCAATGGCATTAAGGAATGTGAGCTTCAACTGCACTAAAAGGTTTTAGATTAGTCACACTTGGAACTAAAGAAAATTGTTAGAGAGTAAAAAGCTTTGAACTTGAAGAGAGGACCTGGCTCTGAGTTCCAGTCATGCCCTGATTAGGTACATGACCTTGGACAAGTCACTTGGCACTCAGTCCCATCTCCTGTAAAATATGGCTAACACTTACTCTACAGTACCCACAGGCAGGTCTGACTTGATAAAAAAGAAATGGGAAAGAGCCTTGTAAATGATACGAACCTGTACAAATGCAAAACAATGGTAAAGTTATTAAGAATTGCATAGAACTGGACAGAACTCCTATCCTGGGATCAGTCAGGATACGACGAGCTCTGGAAGGCCCCTCCCTCCCAAAGAAAATATTCTAAGTGTGCTCTGATCAGCATCAGGCTCAAACTAACTTAGGCCTCCAAACCCAGTTTAGGGGCAGAGGTGTCAGACAGAAGAGCCTCCTGGACCTGGTTCAATCTTCACTCGGAGCTTGTTGAGTGGGTTTTCCTCTCCAGTGATGTCCATGTGCTGCCGCAGCAGAGCCCGCCCAGTTGCAGCCTCCAAGCAGGTATAAGCAGCCCCTGGGACAAAAACAAACCATAATCCCTAAGAAAGAGTTTGTCACCACATCCAAGACAGAAGACGCTGTGCTGCCCCCTAGAGGCCTCAAGAACAATGGCAGATACCTGAAAATACCATTACCCTGTGGGGACTTGAGGATAAACAGGGTCACTGACAGAACCTGCTCAGCCCCTAGCTCCCTGCTGCTCTGGGCTACAGAGGATGTGGTTAGCTTAGGCTGTTTCTCCCATAAATGAGGACTGGGGGAATCACACCTTTTCTCTGACTGCTGCCTTTCCCCATCAACGAATTTTTAGATAATAATTTGATCTTCTATGAAAACTTAGAATATTTTCACCTGACTGTTCCTGTCAGACAAAAGAAACTGTCACCCCGAGATATTTTCAGGGTCTCTAAGTCTCCTTCTGGCTTAAAAATAATGATTGAGAGAATAGTAGAGGGCATGGGGACTAGGTTTTTGAACCAGCCAGCTCTGCCACTTACTGGATGTTTTGACTCCAAGCAAGTTAATTAACCTCTCTTTGCCTCAGTTTC